TCATTTGAATTCTGACCACAGCCACACACCACCAAAGACCTGTTCTGTCTGTACAGGTGCTAGAAATTCAGAAAAATAAATAAAACATTGTTTGGTCTGAGTCTGTTGATGAACTCTATGACACTAGAAGGTCAACTGTAGTAAAACAAACTTCTCCTTTCAGGTCTCTTCCACAGGGCCATAGCTCAGAGTGGAACTGCCATCTCCAGTTGGTCCGTCAACTACCAGCCACTCAAGTACACCAAGATCCTTGCCCGGAAGGTGGGCTGCACCTACTCAGAGACGGCCGACCTGGTGGACTGCTTGAGACGCAAAAACTTCAGGGAGCTAGTAGACCAGGACATCCAACCAGCTCGCTACCACATTGCCTTTGGTCCTGTAGTTGATGGTGATGTGGTGCCAGATGATCCTGAGATCCTCATGCAGCAGGTGAGTCATGGGTACCAGTGTGATGAGTAACACTTCGGAATAATGACTGTGTAGTCAGCAACTCAGCATGATCACTGACGGACTTCCCAGGGTGCATCTGTACTTCACTTAAACTTGATTGAGACAATCGTTCAACAACTCTATCAGAAATGATAAACAAGAGCACATTACTGTATGGGTTGTTTACTCTGAATCAAACAAGCCATACTGTATACCTAGAGTTAAAGATTTGGAACATTGAAGATCAACTATATTTAAAATAGAGTGTAATAATAAAAATGAATAGATGAATATTTCCTACATAGTGCAATTCACATTTCTTGACAAAAATTGCATTTGTCTAAGGATCCTATAATAAACTGAAAAAACCATAGATGTGTTCAGTACCATGTGCAAATCAACAGTAGGTTATGTCTTCTCTTCTTTTGCCACTAGGGGGAGTTCCTCAACTATGACATCCTTATAGGAGTGAACCAAGGAGAGGGGCTGAAGTTCGTGGATGACAGTGAAGACAATGACGGCATCTCAGCAGCCGCCTTCGACTACACCATCTCTAACTTTGTAGATAATCTCTATGGATACCCTGAAGGTGAGAAATGTCTGTTTCTGTTGTTTACCATGTCAACTCTTCTGGGGAGACTTTAGTCATTCACTTATTCAT